CACGGCCCCAGGGCGCGTCTCTGGGGGGCGGCAGGCCACCCCCACTCTCAGCCAAGCAAGAAGCTCCCACACAGGGCTCCAGCCTCGCCGTGGTGCCAGGCCGGCGGGGGCAAGCAGAGGACTTACAGTCCCTGGGGCGGCCCGGCCAGGGCCCTCAGGGGGGCTGGACAGCGCTGCCCGGAGCTGGAACGGGAGGGAGAGCGGCTGAGGTGCCGGGCTGTGCCGCCGCCCTCCAGCTCCCGGGGCTGCCGCCAGGGCAGCCGGCCTCCGCCTCCAGGGCCACCCGAGGGCCGCGACCCAGCCGCGCACGCGGGGGTGCCAGCGAGGACACCGAGCACCCCGACGGCGTCCCACTCCCGGCCGCGGCTTGTGGGTGCAGGGAGCTACCTCTGCCGCCCCAGCTGACCTCCCCCCGCGCAGGACGGCGGAGGCACCACACCCGCCCGTGGCCCCCGCGGGCTGCTGGCCTGGAGAGGACCCCGGAATCACCGGGTTAAGGTGAGCGACGGTCTTTGCCGCAGGGCGCTGGACACCGCGAGCCCTGGCCAGAGGCTCCGAGACCTCCAGGCCTGAGGGGCAGCCGGGGCCGGCGCCAGCCGCCACCCCCAAGCGGCGCCCGGTGCCGACCCAGCTACGGGCGTGGAGGTGGCGGGAAGGTGGGGCAGGTCTGGGGCCAGCAGGCCGCACCCTGGGCCCACGCAGGGGTGGCCGGTCAGGCGCCTGAGGCCGAGGAGGCGGGAACACCCCTGGCCTGCGGGGGAGCCCGGCCCCGGGCCCCGAAACCCCGCCCGAGCCTGGTGGGGCGTCTGGGGCCCCCACCGGGGCTTCCACAAGGGGCACTGTCGGGCACCCCCCTGGCTGGGCTGGGTGCACGCACACACGGCCCCGGGCTGGACACGGCCTGGACAGGGCGGTGGCCCCGACGGGGCCCGGGGCCGCGGCCACACACTCACTCCGGCCAGGGACTTCTGGATGTTCTCTCTGGCCCTCGCGATGTCCCGGAGGATCACGCTGGCGCCGTCCTCCTGCGGGCGGAGGGGACACGTGTCCTGCTCGTGCCGACTCCGCGGCCGCCCGCGGGGGTCAGGCGTGGCCTACCTGCCGGGCCGAGCCGCCCGCGGGCCCGTTCATCTGCTCGTAGAACCTCCTCTCCGCGTCGTCGTACTTGAACTTGTCGAACCAGACCTTCTCGTGCAGGAGGAAGCTCGTGGCCATTTTCCTGCTGGGGGAGGCGGCGGCTGAGCACCCCGGGG